TTCGTCCCTGGCATGATTGTCGGTATAAATGCATATGCACATTTGTTTCAGTTGATTCTTTCCATTTGAAGGGACGGATAATAGTTAAATTTGGATTTTTAGTTTATATATTATAAACCCATATATTAAAATATAAACCCAACATGGTTTGCTTGTTGTGTAAAAGTCAAAAATAGTATATATGTCATACAAAATAATGTAATATTGAAAGTATCTACACTATCTGACAAAAGTCTTGTCCCCTGTCCAAGTTTTAGGAACAACAACGAATAACTTCTAGTTAATCATTTAGTATCAGAAGTGGCTAATATGAAAGGCAAAGGCTTCTAGATTACAATTATTTTACCAAATTAAATTATGATCATGCCTTGATTTTAAATTATTTAATTAGGACAGTAAGGTCTGACTTTGCTTAGATGAAAGTCTTGTCGCTTAACAGAAATAATGTACTGTATAGAATATATGGTCATGGTGCAGTGGAAAAAAAAGTTAATATTGTGTATGACTCCCATGAGCTTGGAGGACTGCATCCATACATCTCTGCAATGACCCAAATAACTTATTAATAAAGTCATCTGGAATGGCAAAGAAAGCATTCGTGCAGGACTGCCAGAGTTCATCAAGATTCTTTGGATTCATCTTCAATGCCTCCTCCTTCATCTTACCCTAGACATGCTCAATAATGTTCATGTCTGGTGACTGGGCTGGCCAATCTTGCCGCACCTTGACCTTTTTTGCTTTCAGGAAGTTTAATGTGGAAGCTGAAGTATGAGAAGGAACACTATCCTGCTGAAGAATTTGCCCTCGCCTGTGTTTGTAAAGTAATGGGCAGCACAAATGCTCTTGATACCTCAGGCTGTTGATGTTGTTATCCACTCTGCAGATCTCTTACACACCTCCATACTGAATGTAGCCCCAAACCATAGTTCTTCCTTCACCAAACTTGACTTATACATGTCAGAATCTTAGGTCCATGCAGGATCCAATAGGTCTTCTGCAGTATTTGTGATGATTGGAATGCAGTTCAACAGATGATTCATCTGAAAAATCTACCTTCTGACACTTTTGCAAATGATCAACTAGAAGTCAAGTTATTATTTGTTGCTTTTACAACTTTTTTCAGGAAGTGTATAACTTGATTGCGATTAATTGCAAAGTGTTCAAAGGTTTTCACTTTGATTTGACAAATTTTTGTATTTATAGTTTGAGAGTTTTGTTTGTTTCATGCTCTTGGCAGCCTATTATTAACTACACACAGCAAAATGTCTATATGTATATATATATATAGACCTGTTGCCTCACAGCAAGAAGGTCGCTGGTTCGAACCTTGGCTCAGTTAGCGTTTCTGTGAGTTTGCATGTTCTCCATGACTTCTCCGGGTGCTCCGGTTTCCCCCACAGTTCAAAGACATGCGGTACAGGGGAATTGGGTAAGCTAAATTATCCGTAGTGTGTGAATGTGTGTGTGAATGTGTGTGTGGATGTTTCCCAGAGATGGGTTGTGGCTGGAAGGCCATCCACGGCGTAAAAACTTGCTGGATAAGTTGGCGGTTCATTGCGCTGTGGCGACCCCAGATTAATAAAGGGATTAAGCCGATAAGAAAATGAATGAATGAATGAATATATATATATATATAATTTTTTTTTTTTTTTCTATATCTGTTCCCCTAATGGTGTGACGTTATTGTGAAAACGATCAATATACGGTAAACAATCTCAAGTGGTATTAAATCTTTATGATTTTCTTTCTTCTGTTGAACATATATTAAGACATTTTGAAGAAACCTGAAAACTTGTGAACTTTCACTCACATTGTTGGATAAAAACAATTAGTATGGAAGTCGATGATATCAGGTTTCCAGTTTTCATCAAGATATCTTTTTTTTTGCTGTGTTGAAAAAAGAAACAAGTAAAGGATGACATCATTTTCATTTTTGGGTGAACTTAATTCAACAACCACAAACTTAAGCATGAGTTGCTAATGTTTGTGGCCCAGGAAGTAAGGTTTACTCACAGCCTTGCAACTCTTTCACCGTTAGCATTTTGTTCGGGTCTTGAACCATCGGTTGAGGACCACTGCTCTCTATCACCCTGACTTCTCCCAGCAATAGCTCAGTTTGAATGCAGATCAAGACCTCACACATTCTGCGAGACCACCACAGCTGACAGTCTCCGTCGTCAGACACAGATATGACTCCGGCACCTTCATGCTTAATTCCAGAGGGGCATCTGTTAATGCCTCCTCCCAGGTGGGCCATAAAGTCCAACATAAAGAGTTGGCATCCTAGGATCATCATACCCTGGAAGATGAGCCCAGTCAAAGCAAGACTCTGCTGACCGTTGCCAAATCATAACCCCAATAAAACATCTAGCATTAATTAGCACATTTGCCATCCACCTCTTAAAACACTGTAGTTTCAGCTGTTGCAGATCGTGAGCAAAAGCAAAAGCAAGAAAGAAACGCTCGAAGTTGTTGATGCCACTGAACCATGAAACTTTTGGCCCGGGGTTGAAATTGCACTGTGTACACGTTCTTTAGCAATTTAGCTGCAGGGATAAACATACCTTACATCAACACGCTGTTTGTACTCTAGATTTGCCCCGCTTCAGGCTGACAGCACTTGTACACTCTGCTCTCTGTGCTGAACAACTGAAATCCAGACAGTTCCAATTATCTCATTCACCGAGGCTGTCGAGAGTGCAACTGCATGTACTTTGCATATATGCAAAGGAGTGTGATTGTTTCTGTTTCTGATAAAAAAGCCTGTATACTGTAGGGTCAGATTTACATCCACAAGTTTTTTAGTAGTTTTTTACAATAGGCCATTTATGATTGTTCTGAATTAATTAACTGACCTTGCAACAGACAATTTTTTTAAACATGGTGATGCATTAAACACTTTAACACTGTAATAATAATAATAATAATAATAATAATAATAATAATAATAATAATAATAATAATAATAATAATTATTATTATTATTATAATTATAATAATAACAATAATAAAGAATTATTATTATTATTATTATTATTATTATTCATGTTTTTAATGTTTTTAATGTTATTAATATTATAATCAACACTATATTTGAGATGTATTGATTTGGCATTATGTTCCAACCTTTTAAACGGTTTCATTTTCAGCTTTTATTTAGGAAGCTTAGCAACAAAAAAAATCTGTGCTGTTTTTTCTTATTTGCAGACATGCAGCTTGATTTTGTATCCATGCAGACTTATTTAACTCTGCTGCATAGATGTTATAGACGTTAACATCATTCCATTGTTTGACTACTGTAATTAGCTTGTTATGATTAATATTATCATAAATATTGTGTCAAAAGAAGAGATGGATATGCTTGCCCCTACCTTCATCTCTTCTTTATTGGATTATTGTAATGTTCTGTTCACTTGTCTGAACAAATCCTCTATGGAGCTATTGCTAGTTGTGCAGAATGCAGTGGCAAGGCTTTTTACTAACACCAGTTGGAGGTCACACATTACACTTGTGCTTAAGGCACTTCACTGGCTTCCTATTAGTTTTAGAGTAAATTTTAAGATACTGGTCATTAGATATAGAGCTCTGCATGGTCAAACCCTGTATATTAAATATCTTTTAAGCAGTCACTCATGTAGCCGGTCTCTGAAGTCTTCTGGCAAAGACCTGTTGCCATTCCTAGAACTCGTCCTAAGACTAAAGGTGGTCGTGCTTTCTGTGTGGTGGCCCCACAGCTCTGGAACTCTCTCCCGATAGCACTGAACTCTTTTTAAAAAGCATTTAAAGACACACCTTTTTGGTCAAGCTTTTAATTAACAGTATTAGTGTTTCTGTATTTAGATTTTTAATTAGATTTAATATTTTAATAATATGTCTTTTATTGTCATGTGTTCTTTTAGTTATTTTCTCTTATTGTAAAGCACTTTGTGACTCAGTGTCTGGGAAAGGTGCTATATAAATAAACCTTTACTTACTTACAATATATTTTTTGCATCATTTGTGACCCAGGATCACAAAACCAATCAAAAGTATCAGTTTTTGGAAGTCAAGGTTTAAACAGCACCTCATAAATAATCTTTCATTTGATGATGTGTTGTCTGTTACACAGTACATAACATGAAATTTGGCAGAGATAAATTTGAATATATGAAATCTCAAGGGTTCAAAACATTTAAGTTGTGATAACAATTTGGTCTTTAAAGTTGTCTAAATTAAGTTTTTAACAATTCATGTAACTAATTATACATTTATTTGCCATATGTTTACAGAAGAAATTTTACAAAATCCATATGGAGCATGATCTGTGTCTAAGACTCTAATACTTTTAATCTACATTTTTAGAAAATGGCCTTTAAAGTTGTTTAAATTAAGTTTTTAACATTTTATATTACTAATTATACAATAGTTTGTGATATATTTAAAGAAGGAAATTTACAAATTGCATATGAAATGTGATCTTTACCTATTACTCTATTGATTTCATTGTAAATTTTGAGAAAATGGACTTTAAAGTTGTCAACATGGAATTTTTAAAAGTTCATTTTATTAAATATACATTTATTTTTTTATATATATTTACAAAAATGCATATGGAAGATGATCTTTACCTAATACTCTAATGATTTTAATTTACAATCATAATACATATTATTAATTATACATTTATTTTTTATATATTTGCATACGAAAATATACAAAATGCATATGGAGCAATAGTGCAGTGATTTAATCGAATAAATTAATCATTTGGGCTCTTGTATTTTTGGATATTGCCAAAAATATACACATGCAACATAAAACAAATTCTGTGGTCATTATTACATTTTTGACAAGATATTATGAATTGACTTAACATTTAAATACATAAAAACACTATCAAGGCTGTTTTCTTTTGTTATTGGAGCAAACTCATTTTATAAACATTTTATAAATTTTAAGTAGATCCAACTCCCTTTGAAAAAGACAACAATTAATAAGGATGTTTCTCTTGTCTCCTGCAGATCATTACAAAGTATGTGTATGAACGCTTGGAGAAAGACTGCAATCTGAAGAAGGAGATCCTCCCAGTAAGTAATGCCCTTCTACCTTCTTTGATAACTTTAGATGCAAGCTATGTGAATCAAACAAGAGTTAGTGTGAGAACTGAAGCAGTTGTGCTTAACATCGTATAACATTACAATGGTCTGAATTGCCTGAAAATGTATCATTCTCCAACACTTAAAACTCTCCAGTATAAAATAGGATTTGTTCTGAAGTTAAAATACCATACGCTCAAGGTGTGGTTGCTGTATTCATAAGAGCAATAACGTTATGATTTCTAGTACACTTTTTAAAAGGTGTATCATTAAACTACACATCATTTTTGATAGCGGGTGTTTGCACTTGGTGGAAGCTGAATTTATGTCCTTTTAAAAGCACTGTAAATTACTCTCCATAAATCACCCGAACAATGCTGGCGCAGGCTTTTATGAGCTGTTTTATTTGTGGAGAGTATTTACCAAATGATGTTCTCCGAGTCTGTATTGTCTTTTCCAAGAGTTTCACGTGCACAGCTACCTGTGACCAACAGCATTTAGTGCTTCGTCCATTTATCAAAGTCCATTTTAAAGAAGAGCACACGCACTATATTTAGTGTTATTTTCTATTGTACAATTTTTATGCTCATCTTAGAGTTTGCCTCATAACCGCTCAGGAAGAATACGGCGTGTAAAAGTCGAGACGGATTTGTTGCAGTGTAATGAAGTCATCAGACGCAGGCAGACAACGGTTGACTTTTCTCAGCAGCTGGCAGTGTAGCTCGGCATTCAACGCCGTTCATTAGAACTGATTCCAGGCTCTGAGTCACTCCGCTGTTCCTGAGTGTCCTGCCTCACTTTAATATGAGTAAATGTTGTTGTTGACACACATCGGTGGATTGAGGATGTCACACAAACAGCACAAAAAACATCTTCTAAATGAATGTTTTTATCCATTTCTCTGTATTATTGACAATATTAGTTGGTCCATTTAAACAAAACTGTTTTATTAAACCTTTATATCCATTAAAATAAGAGTGTTTGGCATATTTAGAAATAGTAAAATAATACATTTCATTAATAAAGTTGTTGCAAAAAACAAACAAAAAAAAACACGAAAATTAAAAAAGTTATTATGATTTGTTTGATTTTCCCACTTCATTAATATTAATAATACTGAATTTTAACAAAACATATTAAAAGTTTATATCCATTACAATAAAAGTGTGGTCATATGATATCTTTAGAAATAGTAAATATGACATTATACTTAATAATGGTAATATATTTCAATAGTACAATAAATAATACATTTAAAATCTAATGAGTTGTTGCAAAACAATACAAACTACAAAATTAAATCTACTCATTATGTACAAAACTGAATACTGTATATTTTAATGGTTTGCTTAATTTTTTTTTTGCTTTTGCTTAAGATTAAAAAAAAATAATTTAATATTTTTTATATTGACTAGTGTGATGAAATTTTTGCTTTTTGCTTATCATAAGATATTTTCTTAAATTGGTTCCAGTTTTAGCTTTGGTACAGACTATATCTAATATCTACTTTATCTATATACACAAATATGGACTACAGCAGCAGAAGACACCGGGTGCCACTACTTTCAGCTAAGAACAGGAAAGGCTACAATAGAATATAAAAATAAATGTTGCCTGGTCTGATGAGTCTCAATTTCTGTTGCGATATTCGGATCGTAGGGTCAGAATTTTTTCGTTAACAACATGAAAGCATGGATCCAAGCTGCCTTGTATCAATGGTACAGGCTAGTGGTGGTGGTGTAATGGGGTGGAGAATATTTTCTTGGCACACTTTGGGCTCATTTTTACCAACTGAGCATTGTGTCAATGCCACAGCCAACTGGAGTATTGTTGCTGACCATGTCTATCCCTTTATGACCACAGTATACTCATCTTGTGATTGCTACTTCCAGCAGCATAACACGCCATATCATGAAGTGTGAATCATCTCAGACTGGTTTCTTAAACCTGACAGTGAGTTCCCTGTTCTCAAATGGCCTCCACAGTCACATATTTCCAGTGCCTTGTTGAGTCTATGCCACAAAGGAATAAAGCAGTTCTGAAGGCAAAAATGGGTCCAACCTTGTACTAGAAAGGTGTACCTAATAAAGTGGCCGGCGAGTGTATTTTCGTAATGCATTTCAAGGGTTGTATTAGTTTATACAGTATGCTATTTGTACATAATGTGTTTGTTAGACGATGTGTATATTTCATAATGCTAAATAATAATATATAAAATTAAATAAATATATGAATAATATATATTTTATGGAATCAAATGATTAAAAAAGACACTATAGACCGTGTTTACATCTATTTCAAAAGAATGTTGTTTTTTCTACCCAATGAATCATCACAAAAATATATATGTTCAAATAGTTTTTGTTTTTACATTCATATTAATGTCACGTATAAGCTGTTCTTTTTTATCTTTTGACACTTTTTTTTTTTTTTTTTTTTTTAGAATAAAATGGATGTTCACAGAGTTTTCCAAGTTTAGCAAAATATGGTGGACATTAGATTTCTTGTTTTACTTACAAGCGAGACCACCTCATTTGGATTCAGAAGATTTTATAGTTTCAAAATGCCCTAAGTGTATTCAATAATATATGGGAGATTTTCTAACTATAGGTTGAATTGGCTGTAATCTGGTCTAGCTTGCTGTAATTGGCGATCATGATCTCTGTTTGGTGCTAATTATAATATTTATGTTCCTCCAGGTTGATGCGACTGAGGACGAACCCAAAAGCTTTATTTATGTGAGCGAGGACGCACTCAGTAACCCAGACAAGATCATGGTTCTCATCCAGGGCAGTGGAGTGGTGAGGGCAGGCCAGTGGGCACGACGCCTCATCATTAATGAAGACCTCAACAGTGGGACTCAGATACCCTTCATTAACCGTGCCAAAGAGGTGGGTTTTCCTTTTCTTTTCTTTTTTCATAGTTGTTATGAAAATATTTAAAGAGGAAACAAGTTTGTTGGGTTGAGTTTATATTTGGTTTGTGAATGAAAATTTTCAAGCATCAACACAGAAAAACCTTTCTCAATTCTTTTTTTCATTTGCATTAAGATACAATTTTTTTTCAGAATTTTTTTATTTGCATTTAATATACTTTCTGTGTGTATAATAACAGATACCAACATGGAACACCTCGTCTTTGACTGATACATTATGTAAAAACCTAATATTTCTTTTTATAGTATTATTGCTATTATTCTGTTTTTAGTATCAAATGATCATTCAGAAACCATTGAAGTAAATTAATTCGATCATGAAACAAACACATAAATAAATGCATAAATGAATGAATGAATAAATAAATAAATAAATAAATAAGTAAATAAAAACATACATACATACATACATACATACATACATACATACATACATACATACATGCATGCATGCATGCATGCATACATAGATACATACATACATACATAGATACATACATACATAATTATGGTATGTAATACTTCATTACCTCCAACTCAATTGTGTTCTGACCACATGTGCTTTTTTGTATACTGCAGGTATCAATAAAGTGTTTAGTAGTTTAAAAACACTGCTGTAATACATCCACTAAGCATTGTTTTTATGACATTTTTCTTCAGGAGCAAATTACTAACAAAATTATTACAAATATATAATCTTTGTTAGTAAGTGCAAGAACATATATGAAATCCAGACATAACATTGTATGACAATGTTTCTGATGACTGTTCTATAGCCTACAGCTAATTAATCTGTCAGATTGTGGTGTCCATTCAAGTTCTAAAGATATAAATGATCAATTACCTTAAATAAAACAGATAGATTAATAGATATGGTATATAAGTATAGAAGTTTGGTATATCTTTTTGAAAGAAAAGTGTACAATTATTTGTGCATGAAATGAATAAAAAATGACAGTAAATACTTAAAAAAAATAATAAAAAAATCTGTTAAATATATTTAAGAATCAGGGTTCTTGTGCTTCTTGAAGGTACTTGCATTTCAGACATGAATTCAAGGCCTGAAAAGTACTTAAAACAAACTTAGGTCTTTGAAAGTGCTTGAAATAAAATTTAAATAACATGTTTGTGGTGTTATTTTAGCAATTGTACTGTGCTGCTGTCAAAAAACAGAACAATATCTAAGGTTAAAAATATTACATTTAAACATTGAACAAGAATAATGACACAATGCACTGTTACACCTGGCTCAAAGATTTAACATTAAGTGAGAAGACACAAAGAAATAGTCTAAAATAATGTAATTTATTAATATTTTAGAAACCATTTGAATGTATTATCAGTATTAAATTAAACTAATTTGAGTGAAGTTCTTTGAACATGACTGTTTAAAATGGTCTTCATTTTTGAAAATTACACATTCAAAACATCATTAATTAACCATCGTTAATCTGACATTAAAATGTAAATATTAAATGTAAGTGAAATGTGCAGTAAGGACTTTCTTGGTGCTATGAATGCAGAGGGTTTAAAATACAAAGGTGCTTGACTTGAAATTAGTGGAGCTTTAAAAAGTCCTTCAATCTGCTGTTCATGAAAGTGGGAACCCTGAAAGATACAAGACCACAAAAACCGGAAGCAGCAGAACATGTTTGTTGATTAGAAGAAAAAATGTTTGAGCTCAAAATCAACATGTTTGCTTCGGTAGGAACATGTTACGCTGCCTACTGGAGTAATGAAATAATACAATCAAATGAATGCTTTAGAGACTTTATTATTAGTTCTACACATTAAAAATATTTCTTCCTGCTTGTTTAACCTTTTAATGTGCACTGCTTGAAAATAAATATTTTTTCCCACGCTTGCATTAAATAATATACTTACACAACTGTTATAAATAGTAATATGCAATTCAAATAATATTGATAGCCTATGAATAAAATGTCGACCAGGTTATTAAAAATGAGTTTCATTTGGGAACTTAAATATTGTATGTTCAGTCCACTTGAACATACAAGTTCAATAACAAAAAAAAAAATTAAGTTAACTTAATTAATTTGTTTTGAGACTGCACAAAGGAATTGTGTGAACCCCAGCATTTTTTTACAGTGCATATTTATAGACTTGCATATTGAAATATTTGTAGATTGTGTTGACATGTATTGCATATTAGCCTTTTTTGTGTGTATGTATGCGTTTTTTTTTCAGGATTGCAAATATATTACACCTTTTCTATATTTATTTATGTTACGGTTTGCCCTGTAAAGATACAGGCAGGCCGAGTAAATTTCTGAAGCACTGGCCTTGATAGTTTCATATCAACGCAAATAATTTCACATTCCCATAGTCTTGAGCGACCACCATATCCATCCTTATTTTCTCCTCCTTTACACTCTCCGATCCATAGATATTTATTTACCTGGCAAAAGGAGCTGTTTTGCCGTTACGTCTGCACTGTAAACTGTAATTTAGATTTTCATTTCTTTTCTCTGTCGGAGAACGTATCCCCGAGTGGAGTTATTTCCGTCCATCGCGGCTAGTCGTTTGTCACGCCGCCCGCCGCTACCTGTGTAATTTCATCGGCCCGTGCGTTCAAATTGACTTAAGGGAGATCTCCCTCGCTCTTCCATCTAAATGTCATAAAACACACACTCTCTCTCACACACACACACACACACACACACACACGCACACACACACAGAGATATCCACAGGCAAAGTCACTTTTCGCACAGCGCCGGAAAAAGACGGACAGGGACGAGGAGTCTGTGTGGTGGCTTATTGCATTTATGAAGAGGTACGTTTTTGGGGGATATACAATGCACACTGCCGTGGCGACCATTTATCATACTAAATAATGACCCCGGCTTTGCTGTGACATCATCATAATAGCATTTACAGGAAGAGAGAGAGAGAGAGTTTCAGCGTTTGCTGTGTGTGTATCAGCGTGACAGAGGGAATGCGGCTGTCACTTTGCAATATCTGTATTGCTGAAGGGCTGCGGATGCGCTGTCTGATTCTTCAAGTGACGGCTCGTGTTTGTGATTTCCTCTGTGATAAACAAGGCCACCTGAGGCCATGCGCCAAACACTCGCTCTGATCCGAGATCAGTCTGTTCTTTTAGCCTGTGAGATTCTGTGCTATTCTGATGGGAATCGCTTACATGCGCACATACAGGCAGGTTTCATTGCTCCCTGATCTGTCCTGCGGAGCTTTATTAAAGATTAGCGGCGGGTAGGAATAAGGGTGTAAAATAAAGCTGGTTGATATTTTTGGAGTTGCGCTCATGTTTGATGTGGGTTGTTGTCTTTATTAGCACATTTTTAAAGATGATACAGCAGGTCTTGAAGGGAGATTGTGTTGTAAATGGTCAGATGAGCACTGCAGGAGATTTTATAGACTGACTAAGGAGAGATCAGTTCTATTGTGAAGAAAAATAAAATCAAGCAGTTAGTTCAACATCAGGTGGCAAAACTTTTCTAATTTCTTCTAACTTTTCTATATCTCTCTTTCTATAAAACATGTCATTTGTAAGATTTGAACTTTTTTTTTTTTTTTAAAGTGATGCATTACTATAGGCTATATCATACACCTGGCGCATTAAGACGCAAGACTTGTTTGGTGCGATTTGTTGCTATTTTCAGACCAGTGCAACCCTAATTTTTTTATGTTTTGCGCCACATTGTTTACTCATCGGTGTGCCCGTCTAAAAAGTAGTTGTGTTAAGGCCCATTGTTAGTGTGTTGCTGTTTTGAGAAACTGAAATAGACTGCGCCACTGTTTAATTGAAAACTGCTCTAAAGTCCAGTGGAAAGCACGTTAGTTATGCACCTATTAGGTTCAAATGCTTACACATTGCTTAATACACACAGAATGTACAGCAGTACACAAATATCTTTACAAATAGAAACAATTAAAAGATTAAAATGTTACAAAAATTATTATTTTCCACATAAATATAACTCAGTTTATTCATGACATTTTGCTTTTATATAATGTTATTATTATTATTAGCAGTATTATTAATTATATGCATATTTATATTTGACTTATTAAAACAAGATTAGATTTGTCCACCTGTTGGGTATTGGGGACGTATGCATAAATATATGGTGCATACAAATAGGATGTGTGTTTGGAGTTTTTATTGTTCATTTATTTGTTTGCTAGAAATTAGAACTGAATTTAGAAATAGTTTTGAAAGAAATCTTTGCGCTTAACAACCAAAATTAAATTCAGTGTGTAGGCTAGTGGATGTCTTCAGTGTAGTGCGTACAACACCGCTTCTTTATCCACAAAAATATAGGAGTAAAGAGGCCAAATTAAGGAGGCTCATTTTTCATCCTAGTGCTGCAGATGGTTTAACTGTTTTCTCGCTAATGAAGTGTTTAGTTTTTCCACTTACAAAGTCCCCCATGTATATAGCTAATGCGTCATGGCAGAACGCAACTGACTCTTATTGGGGATTGTAAATTAGACTCTGATTGGTTTAATACATGTTATTTTTCTAAATACACCATAAGCTATTAAGAGAATAAGCACAACCCTGTTAGACCGTGCGCCGCAGCGAAGACTGTATTTTTCCATTCTTAAAATAGCAAAAGTGGATTCGAATATGCCCTTAATGCTTTTTCGCCATGCACTTTAGACTTTGCGCCTAGATCGTTAAAATGGAGCCCTGTATTTACATTGGATTTCTCTATTCAGCAAATAATCCTGACAAAAGAATAATGTTCACAAGTTTTTATTACATTTACATTTTCACATAAATGCAGTTGTTTTGAGCTTTGTACTTAAATCTAAATATGTTTTCATGAAAAAAAAACACTTAAGTTTTATTGATATTTCACAGTATTACAAAAAGGTTGTCATGATACTGGAATTCAGAAAATATATTATTTGACAAATAAATATTTGAGAAAAAAAGAAAGGGATCTTCACCTTAAATTTGTTACA